CTGAAGTAAAAATATTTTTTAAAATGGGATTAATTAGTATTTGCATCATTCAATAGCTTTCTTAGCTTCCAAAATGACTATTGGGATATGGATGTGTGCACACACATGGGATCAGTTGCAGAGAGATTTTTCAGTCAGGGTTGTGGGGAGAAGCTCCTTTATGCTGTTGCCTTTTCAGCCATGTGGTAAAAGGCAGCTACAAATCAACATCAACATACTCAACACCTTGCAAAGCAATGTCAGGAATATTGCATGCATAAGAGAAAGGGAGCTCTGAAATCTACAGCTCTACAGTTTCAACCAGTCCAACACCAGCTCTTTGTGATTCCAGCTGATTTTATGTAATGCCGAAAAAAACCCCTGTTTTCAGGACCTAATTAAACAAGAGATTAACTCTGAACACCAGGAATTCTCTTGAAATGTATTTATAGGACTTTCTCTGTTTCACAGATGACCTGCTTCTGTGGCTGAAACACCATGTGGGTTATTTCTGTACTCCTCCTTGGTATTTATAGCGGGACACAAATGTTGTCAGGAATAAAACAATTTGGGGGTCTATAAATGAAGACAATGTAATGTGTACAATAGAATGGAGTAGGCAATAACCAGGAATGAAGGGATTATGTACGTGCTGGATGGTAAGATTCTTCAGGGGCGCTGCTCTGTAACTCTCTCCTCCTGTTGTTGGAGCAGAAGCTCTTGTCCTGCTCACCAGCAGCTCCTGCCAAGTCAGCAAACACTTGCAGGAGCAGAGCCAGAGCTGGGCTTCCTGCCCAGGGACGCGCTGCTGTGGGGTGGCCCCACAATGTGCCTGGGTGGGGCTACAGTGGGGCTAACAGGGACAGAGAGAGCGGGCCAGGAAACCTGACAGATTTTTCCAAGTTTTTGTGCTCCTAGAATTGGCAAGACCCCAGGGTTATTTTTTACCCAGGATACCCTTGTAGTTCAGCAAACTCATTCAGGACTAATCAATCTTTCAGCAGCTACGTACTCAGTGAACTGTTTGTGGAGCTGGTGAGAGCCCAAAGTACAGCAGAGCTGGCTGATAAGGCACGTACGTACCTGCAAAGGGGATCATCACTCATCATGTGCTTGATTCAAGAGCCAGGACTGGAATTAAGCTAAACTATACATTGGGCCAGATCCTTTCTTTACACAGCTGGGGGACACCTACTTGAGAAGTCTTCAGTGGGAGGTGGCATGAACCTGCCTAGACCTGCAACCTTTCTGACAGAGTTTGTGCTGGTGGTGGCTGGTGGGAGTGGCGTGTGCCTACCGCGGGACAGCTCGCACCAGGTAGGGGTGTGGGGAGTTGGTGAGGGCAAAGTGACCGTCCTCATGTGGCCTGGGCTGGCCCTCGGGGAGCTCGAAGGTGAAATTCTGCATGAGAGTGGTAAAGAAAAGAAAGAGCTCCATCCTGGCCAGCTGTTCCCCCAGGCAGACACGGCGACCTGCAAGGGAAGGAGTCAAAAGAGTCTGTGAAAGAGGACATGAAAACCTCTCTGGAATCCCTGCATGGAGCAGCTCACCCCTCCTGCTGTGCCTCTGACTTGCAGCTGGGTCCTCCCCTCAGATTTACCTGCTGAGAAGGGCAGGAAGGCCTCTGGTTTCACAAACTGCCCATCTGCATCCAGGAAGTGTTGGGGGTAAAACTCGTTTGGCTTCTCCCAGACTGTCTCGTCCTTCAGCACGGAAGACAAGTTGGTAATGACTGTTGTCCCCTGCACTCCCCCACGAGAGGAAACAGCTTGTGTGAGAACAGCAACACTGTCTTGGCACACCAGGTCCCTCTTTAGCCTGTATCTCCCATCAATTAGCAACCATCATTCAGAGTAAGGCACCGATCTCCTCCTCTGGGTTCTATTTAAAACAGAATTAAAGCAGGGCACGCTTCCAAGGACACACGGTGCCTGCCCTGTGCTCTGAGGCACATGAACTCTTGCAGTTTGTACCCCTACAAAGGCCACACTGCATGCCAATGCCAGTTTCATGGTTACACACTGGAAACAGCTTCCACTTCTCAGCTCCTCCTGGGCTGGGAGGAAAAGCTGGCTGACAGACTTCAAAGCCCAGCTCTCACAGGGGCCACGGGAGATAGCAGAGTCTCCTGTTTCACGTGCCAGTGGTCTAAGCTAGTGGAGATATCACAAGGCTTAAAAAAAAACCCAAATCCCTGGTCTGCATTGCTACCAGTGCTGCCAGGGCGGCAGCAAACTGAACGCCAGTGGCATCTGAACAGCTTCAGAGATGTGAGTTTTATCTACTGCCATCTTAGGAAAGGCAGTAAGCTGGTGTCCTGTGCCCCCAGGGAGCCTGTGGGGCACCACCACTGTCTCCTTCCAGCGCTGGCGGTGAGTGCCACAGCTCACTGAGAGGAGAGCAGGCTTCTGCCCCGAGCTGCCACCGCAGCTGGGTTCCCACAGAACCCACCCCCGTGCCCCACGCTGGCACGGAGGGCGGGTGCTGCCCTGCCTGGCCACCCTTACCTTGGGGATGAAGAAGCCGTGCAGCTCGGTGTCCCGGTAGGTCATGTGGGGCAGCCCCACCGGCGCCACGTCCCCGTAGCGCTGCACCTCGTGGATCACGGCGTTGGTGTAAGGCAAGCTCGCCTGGTCCGTCATGCTGGGGGATCTCTCTCTGCCAATCACCTTGTCAATCTCTGCCTGCACCTTGCCTGAAAGCAGCACGGCTGAGGTGTGAGAGTGCCCTCAGGTAAACAGCAGGGGCTGGGACGAGCTGTAGGAGGGGTGGCAGCATGAGACTGTGAGCGTTCGGGGAGAGCAGGACAAGGAGTTAGAGAAAGGAACTGAAACCAGAGGAAGGTGCATTGGTTCTCAGTGCCTTAGAGCCACCTGGCAGTGTCTTTAATAGTGGTCTTGTCACTTGACGTGCTACGTCACGCCTCCTCCATGCAGCTGGAAGAGTACCTGGGTGTCAGAGAGCTAAGGCAGATCAGCATCTGTTCCAAATGCTGGAAAGAGGGGTCCTCTGGCCACTGCAAGCCCCCAGGTAGCCTTCAAAATGAAGGTGAAAGCAAACTTGCCCTTCCAACTCCATCAGGGCCTCCCCCTGCCACTGGTCCCTCCCAGAACAGCCACGTCTGGGGAGTGTTTCCTCTGGCTTCTGCTAGACCAGCTACCACCTAAGCTGCTCCACTGCAAAACCCCCCAACCGTGGAGAGAAGCTGCTCGGTTCCCTCTCAGAAACATGAGGAGGGGAGAAGAGGGGAGGGTGCCCCACCTCTGCCTGCCTCCTGCCTTACTCTGTATTTCTGGGTAGAGGAGCATGTAGAGGAAGGCCCAGCGGAGCGTGGTGGAGGTGGTCTCAGAGCCAGCCACAAACAAGTCTGCGGTCACCAGGCGAAGGTTGTTGTAGTTGAAACCATTCTCCTCGGTCTCCTTACCCTGTGGAGAGCAAACGGGGGGTGGTTGGAGCTGGGGCACTTGCTGGGGGAGAAGAACATTGGTCCAGAGAAGACTAGATCCATTTTTGCTGACCAAGAGGTTCAATGGGAGCATGACACAGGCAGCGGCCCATGTACGGCTGGTGGGTTTTGGCAACCCTGTCACTTCATGTGTTTGAAGGGTCCACAGGAGGTGGAACAAGTTTTTTGGGGTTTGATGAGATCTAAGACCCACGCAGCAGAGAGGAGGCTGCACTGATGTGACAAATGCAGAATGAATTCTGAGGGGCTAATCTGTAGCCATGCAGTACAGATTCTTGCTGCTATTTTCTTACAACTGGAGAAAAAAAATAACAAATCAGGGTATCACTGCTGCCTATTGAGCCTGCAACACCAATTTCAGCAAAACTGGTCTCTCATCCAAATGCTAATTGAGCTCAGATCTGTTAGCATATGAGATATGACAAGCTCTCTGCAAGAGTTCATCTGCTTGTCTTTTCTAATCCTCTTTATGCTTCCCTTTCCTAGGGACTAGTCTCTGTTAAGTTACTCTGTGTATTTTGGTGCTGTTGCAATATGGCTAGTGATTAATAAGGCATTTAGGACTCAACTGTTGTTCCAATAAAAGATCTCTGGCAAGGGACCTATAGGGGTGACCTGACCAAAGTTTTATTTCACTTTTATGTCAGGGAGGCTCCGATTTACGCTGTCAGCTGATCTGGAGTAACTAGTTCTTAGCAAACAATTCAAAGACACAGATCCTCAAGTAGATGCTGTCTTTCCAAGTCCTAACTTAGACAGGCTACGGCCTGGGCAATGACCAAAAAGCCAGTCTGGTGCTGCAGTTTTATAACTGATTTTGGGGATCAGTCACTGAGACACTAACAATCTTGCATGTTGATGGTGTAGACTTAAAAACATTGGTGAATTCTCAATCATTGCCTTTTCAATGCCTTCAGAATGGCAGTAGGCTGGGAAGAAGGGAGTCACTAGACTTTGAGGGGAACGTGGAGGTAGAAAATGGGACCAAGAACATCAGCAGGTAACACAGTCACTTAAATCAAAGAGGTTAATAAAGCAGGTTACAGCATGAAAAAGTCAACACCTTTCTTCTCAAGACACAACATGGACCAAAAAAGAGGAAAACAGTTCTAAAGAGGTTTTATACAGCTTTAGGAAGGAAGTCAGCTTCTGTCAGCAAGCTTAAAAAATCAGAAAAGTTGCCCCCAGACCCAAAGGTCCTTTTGGTGCCACCCTACCTTGTCCATTTCCTTTAAAAAAGCATCGGTGAAGTCTCGGACGCAGTCGGCGTCCCGGGTCTCCATGTGCTTGGCTATGAGCACATCCACGAAGTCCATGAATGCCTTTTGCTCTCGGAAGACCTTCTGGGGCACTCCAGGCAGGTGCAACAAGATGGGCACCACGTTGAGAAGCTGTCAGAAGCAGAGAGGGGGAAGACATTATGGGATGCATCAAGTAAACGAAGGAGAACGCAATGCTCTCAAGCAACAGAGGGCGGCTTCTTGCAGAACCCATCTCACTCTTGGTCTACCTGAGGCAGGAGCCCAGTTTCTTCCTTCAGGGAGTTCTCAAAGAGGTGCAGGAGCTTCCTGAAGGTCTCGTCACCGTAGTGGAAGCGCTCCCCAAAGGTGGTGGTGCAGATGATGTTGCACACCGCGTTATTGACCAGGAAACGCAGGTCGAAGGGACGCCCTACACATGGAGATGGACACCAGGCAGTGAAGCTGCACAACCCCAGGCTGCCTGCAAGGAGGAGGCACCCAGGCCTCTTGGGTGCCCT